AACACCGTAGTTAAATAATGGACGGATTTTTTTCACCGCGTACAAGAGCTATAGAAGAACATGAGGACATACACAGAAGAAATTAGCGGATAAGTAGATGTCAGAAAAACGCTAAGAAAAAAGTCAGGAAAGGGTTACCTAAACAATTGCATATGATCAATAGTATGTCTCAAGAGATATCCTTAAAGCGAGGGAGGGCAGGAAACAACTCAGCAAATTTTCACCGCCTCATGGTGATACTATTGAAAACAGCAAATTGTGAGTACTTAAATTGTACAGATTTTCTAACAGAATTTTTGAAATAGTTCCTTGAAGAATTATCTATGTTACTTATGACACTCAACTACTTCAAATAATTCATCTAGTTACAGCAATTTCTTTCGATGTGGAAGCGTGGTACTCACCTTTAAACACCGTTTCAGACTGCTCTTCCTCATTGATGATCAAAGCAGTATGAAGTAGTAACGATGTCGAAGATGGTTGACCAAAATCACTGCCTTTCAGGCGAGAAGTGGAATAAGAAAGCAACAGATATATTGGAAACCAAAACTTGTTTCGTCATTCAAGATTTACATTTATGATGGAAATGAAATACACCAAAATTTCAACAAAGCGCAATAAGAAAAAGGTTCGATCGATGGGATCGATCTCCGAGGCTTTGGCCCACCAAGCTTTCCATCCCCATGGGGTCGGCAAATTGGTGCCAGACTTGTCTGGGAAGATAGCATCACTGGCTTTATAGATCGATGGGCCACCGCGAGTCATTGTAAACGCCAGATATGCGTATTCATTCCCATCCAACGATTAGTGAAGTCAAATGCATGGCACATCTCTCAGGGATTGATCAACGCCGAGAATCTTATTCCTTACCCTTTAAGACAAAGGTTGCGCAGTAAGCCACCAATACAACAAAGCATTTTAGAATGTAGTGGAACAGTAAACTGTGGGTTGCTGGAGTGAACAATATTCTTGAAATTGATATAAAGTGAGAAAGTACTCGAGTTTTGTAGGTGAAAATGACTCGCCAACGACTAGACTAGATGAGTAGCAACAAAATTTCACCGAATATTGGAGCTTCCTGTAAACGATGATTGGACCTAGGAATTACCACAAATAAAGAAATAGAAGATAAAGCTCTCAGCGTTGATCAACCTTTGTGGGATGCGCTACACATTCAATTTCAATAGCCATCGTTGGAAGTGATTAAATGCATATCTGACCATTACAACGACGCGGTGGCTTACCGATGTATCGAACCAGTGTTGCTTTGCTCCCAGAGGGTTAAACGGCTTGGTGAGCCTTGGGCATGTTGATCGATCCCATTTGTATTGCAGGCCACCTCCGACCACTGCGCTACATATGCCACAAATACATATGAAATCCGGTGGTTTAAAAGCATATTTCTGTAAGCTCCTACAATAAGCGACGACAGCATAAATGTGAACAGCTAATATAGAATTTTTTAGTAGTCTAAAATACTCACAATGTAAGGAGATTTCCTAACACTGGCAATGAAATATCGGTGATTCCACCAGGAAACAAGACCTAATAATCAGATTACAGTTTGTAAAGATTGTTTACGAAGAATAAATAAAGAGTGGTGTCGCATTTTGCAAAAGTTATTTTTGACTCTTACATTTTCTAGCGCTCCAGCGAGAACTTTAGTATCCAAAATAATAGGAAACATGGCATGAAAGTTCTTCTTCCATTCAGTGTACGCTGCTGAATTCTACTCATTAACATAAACAGCAATCCATAAAGGAACAAATATGCCTAAAAACATTTACGACAATGTGACTCATATGGCTCGTTTGTTCTCGACTATTTCGATCCTTCTGTAGTACTTTTGTAGCAAATTAACAGCTGCGCATGCGTATATGTCATGCCCGGCTTAGTCATAGGAATGTTATTTTCTATCCATTAAAATTTACAAAAACAGCTACCAGTAAGGTATTTATATAGAGAATATTTCTCGTGAAATATTCTCTACCTTTCATTTTAACACTTCGCGTACCAATCATGTATTTGTGTTTATTGTTCCTGCCACGTAACATTGTATTGTTGAACACTTGACACAAGGCCTGCATGCCTGCCGTAGATTCACATTCCTTCTTAACTACTAAGCACGCCACCAGGCACGCTACCGCGCACGGCTCATTGCTTGGAGACTAAACACGGTGACCCTCGCCTTAAACCTGCGACCCACAACACTTGCTTAGACGTATCCACGCATTTAGCACTTCCATTTTCCTTCTGACGATGGCATATCGCAGTTTTCCTTCCACATCCCTTAGTCTCCGTTTCATATTATCCTTTCATAAGTTATTTACCTAGGTTGTAATAATGTTAAGCAAAATTTCTAGTTCTTGCATTATCAACACATCAAGGTTATCATCAATCGTCATTTAATCACTACGTGTTGTTAATATAACAATCTTCTCAAATACTTGCATTGCTTATAGGTTCTCTACCCCGCAGAATCTTCCTCCTCATTGTGCACATTTCGTGTCAAGGAACTCAATGTAAAACTGTAAATGACGAAAGGTGGGTGAAGAGCCAAGGATTTTGGAACGAAGGACCAAAAACAGAGTGGAGCCGCACTATTTTGTCCATAATTTACTTTCATTTCTGCGGATGGTCGAAAGCGGAAGATGAGCGATTCGAGATGTCACTCAATAATACGTGCACAGTCACTGGTTCCATTCCAGCGCAGAACAACAAAGCCTCCGAGTTAGGCAAATCGATAGTAGACAGCTAGTAAAAGCCCCTCAGATCCATAAACGCTGATGCCTTGGTGTGGTGGAGACTTGGGAACGTCTTAGCACAGTTATTTCAGGATTCAAGGGTAAATTCCAGTATTCAACGACATCCATAAAAGGGAACGAAATCCTCGAGCTACAGTCAAAACACTTTGCTTTTGGGCTAAGAGGCATTATGGACCGTTCGAAGTATGTTTTTAAAATATTACCAGGATTCGCAACATGAAGGCAGACCTAGCACCTTCGATGTTCAGATTAGTATACATTAAAAGCGAATCACAGAGGTGATGTTCATATGATATGGATGATAATAAGGATAGAACCCAATCCAAAGAAATGCAAGCGCCGCCTAGTTCGACCAGCAATAAGAGGAACTGGCATATGTATATCCCACTCCATCCGATCTATTCGCATCTGGAAACGACTTGTATGTCACAGATTGGCACCAGCAGTCGTGACCAATTAAGAATCAGAACTCTTTTAAGGGACGAAACGAAAAGTGGGTTAGGGTTCTCAACCCTCGTAAAAAAATCTACGAATTTCAAAGTAGATCCTTCCAAAAACAAATCCAAAATAAATTCAAATGTTAACGTTTCCCTTAAGAACATACCTGGTAAGTCAGCCTCAAAACAATTATAGATATACATAAGATCCAGTAAACAATTATGGCCAACGATTGGAAGTTTCCGACTAAAAATGTGAAAGAATATCTGAGATACTCCACTGACCTCGTCGAACAACCTAGAAACCAAGTAATCAGAATCTCTTCAAATAGGCGCTAGTATATCATGTTATGCCTTCAGGCATGAATTGGTTGCTCTCAGCCGAATCGTTTTAGGGATGCCTCTTTTTATAAGACAAGGCAAGAGAAGGCTAACCTACAACGGCCGACAACAGACGTGTAGTCAAAGAATGAGCCACTGGAATTTCCCTACCACTAACACATTTGGTAATCTTGAAATACAAGATGAACTACATTTGTCTAATGGTGAATCTGCGGAAGCAAAACATAACGTATAACAACAAAAATAAACAATCATACTTCCTAAGAGATTCCTCACGTTTATGCAATCTCTCTTCATCGTCTGGATGACCAAATATCAATGGACGCCTTCCCACGTATAACTAAATGGAAAAAAAGAAACTAAGTTGACGAAGCAAACGCTTCTAATATCACTAGTACAACACAATAGCACTATTACAATTATTACATCTATGTCTCACAAGGCGGGGCGTGCATGCAGCTCAGCGGTCGGAGGTGCTCTGAAATGCAAATGGAACCGACCTCGCACCTCATGCTCACCAAGCCCTCCATCTCTGCGGGGTTGCCAAATTCGTACCAGATGTATGAGAGGATAGCAGCACTGGCTCCACACGTCGGCAGGCCACGGTGAGTCATTGTAAGGGCCATATATGCATTCAGTCATCTCCATAGATGCTTAATGATGTCGAGTGCATGGCGCATCCCTCAGGGATTGATTAACGCCGACAGCTTAATCCTTTGTTCTTTATGTCTCACAAAAACTAACTTGTTTGGCTTCATCATGTGGTTCGAAACGGTTACCAATACCTTCGTCTTGTAACATACTGGCACCAGAATGAAAGAAAACCTATTTGTTGGTAGCAAAATACGAATCACTTCCGCACACTTCCGAGTGATACAATTCAAGGATATTAGGGTAATCGATGTGCAGGACAAAAATTAAAAATGCGTGAAAGAAAACTAGACAACTCCTACATAGATAACGAATGTACCCATCAAAGCCCTCCAACGGTTTAGAGCCTCATAGTGGCTGCGAGGTTCTCCTGGATGTCTAGCTGCGATGTACAGCTGGGAGATTCATCCTCCCAGCAGGATCTCCGAAGCTGAGGAGTCCGACGTTTCCATCAGGGAACCGAGCTAGGAGTAAATTAGTACCGGGGTTCACCACCGTCCTGGTATCAAACTAATATATTGTGGAAAATCTCCCCCCGATCCATAAGAGCGGCGACTGTTTGCGGTTGTGACCACTTGGAGCAGAGTTTGGCCTAGCTGACCTCGGGACTTCAGAGAGCCTAGTGACCCCGGGACTTTGAAAAATACAGTAGCTTATTCACTGGTGCCGAGATTAAGGCAAAATCAACTTTGGGGACTGAATACAGGCTTTGCTGCCGCTACAACGAAGTCTTAGGTTTTTATTTACATCTAAAACCCCTTTGAAAAAGCCTGGTTATTAAATAACTAAGCTATCGTATTACTTTCTATTCGAAGAAGCTTACCAGAGTTCGTTCCTCGTCAATGTGAAATTCCAAAGCAGGAAATTCTTCTGATAAAGCAAAGGTCATTACCACTTCCTCTAATGAGTTCAAGGGTCGATCCCACAAGTATTTTCTGGAGAAAATGAAACTCGAACTCTACAAGAAAGCGTACTTTGTCGTACTGGTTTGTCGACTTACTTAAATGCATAATCCTTATCGCCGTTTCGAAACAATTCGATGATTATGGGACGCTTCTGGCAATTGGTATCGTTGGAATACTCAAATGGAAGAATATCACTTTCGTTAAACTATAAAACTAATTGTGATTTTGGAGAATAACCATATAGTAGCCTAACGGAGTAACTAAAAATTACCATTTCGCACACAATTTGTCCTCTGAGTGTTCGCATTCGCTCGCTTAGACCGTGCTCAAATAGACTAAACGATAACGAGCTATCTTTTTCACATTATTGCACTGCTAAAATAAACTATACGCTTAAAATACAACCACAATGCTGAGAAAAAGGGGTTCGGAAAGGAAACAAAGGCGAAACGAAGGACCCGCATGGTGTGGTGGTGAACTCGTTAGAGGTCTCAGAAAGTGTAATAACAAGGCTCGATCCCCACCGAAAACACCTGCGCTCCGGAGCTCTACAAATATCTCATCGCGACTGCAGTTGTATTTCACATCATACCACGCGCATCCCAATAGTTTACCGTCACATCGTGGATGGGAGGCTTTCCTGGGTGTCGGGCTGCGATGTGCAGCGGTGGTATTCACCGCCCCAGTAGGGTGCCCCAAACTGAGAAGGAGTCCGGCACTTCTATCTGGAAGCCCATCTAAGAGTAAAGCAATACCAGGATCCACCACCAAGCTGGTACCAAACTAGTCGCATGGTGGAAAATCTCCCTCTGATCCACACCAGCGGCGACTGCATGTGGTGATGACGACCTGGGGGAGACTTTGGCTAGGCTGACCTTGGAAATCCAGGAAACCACAATAGCTAAACCAGTAAAACTCGAAAAAAAAATGGAAATTATGCTGGGATCCACACAACCAATGAAGACGGGTCATCTAAGTATCTAAGTGTCATACCTTGCCACGAAAAAAGAATAGGCAGTACACGAAAAGTGATTAAACCCCTACAGATGCCACTTACTCAAAATCGTAGTCGCCGCTTAGAATTTTATCTCGCAATTTCCCCAACTCCGTCTGATTGCAATACGTCACGCCTTCAACAATTAACTAAAAAACACAAACTGATCTTTGAGAAAGACTCCATTACTGGTAACTGGTAAAAATATTATTCAAGAAACCTTTTTGAAATCAAATCCATGTCGAGCTAGAAAGTGAAGAGCAGATGGTGAAATGGAGAACTCCTGTTTAGAGGTCCGTTTGAAGACGGTAATGCAGAAAACGTCCACTCTGTACCTATAATTGTAAAAAACGCGATTCAAAATAGTCGCATTCCAATTACTATTATGTGCAAGCATCTCGTATGTCATCTACTTGGATACTTGGATAGCCCGTCCCCACTGGTTGCGCGGGTCCCAGCATAGTCTCCATTTTTACGGAGTTTTACCAGTTTGGCCATTGTTGTCCTTTGGACTGCCGAGGTCAGCGTAGCCAAAGTCCGCCACAGGTCTTCACCACCACAGGCAGTCGCCGCCCTTGTGATTCAGAGGGTGTTTTGCCACCATGCAGCTTGTTTGATACTAGCACGGTAGTGGATCATGGTAATGGTTTAGTCTTAGCTTTGCTTTCTGATGGAATATCGGACTCAGCCTGGAAGATCCTGCCGGAGGATGAATCCAGCTGTTGCAGGTCACAGCGCAACACCGAGGAACACCTCCCAACCACGACAAGGCAGTAAACCATTGAGAAGATGTAGTCATTTATCTAAACGAAATGTACTTTGTGCTTCCAAACCTTTTAGATCTGAATCCACCTCCACATTCTCTGAAGAAAGCCAGTCCCAACTGACATGGCGGGTATCGGCGGACGGCACCACATAGTTTCCTGTAGCGCTCACTCGGTGTGTCAAACAGTGACATCCCATCCTTTCCCGAGACTGATGGTAAACCCAGGAATTCGAAATCCACAGCTAAACTTTGGTTATACCATCCAGCAAACCTCTACTTCAGTACGTTAGCACCTTTTCTTGTTTCGTTATGGCTGAATTATCTTTTCCTATCTCGTTATTAATTTAACAGCAGCCCCTAATAGAGTATAATTCTGGACTATGGACAAATATGAGATTATAGCCAACCTTCTGTTTGCCTCAAATATCACTTTATATAATCATAATACCTATCATAATAGTATCTTACTGACTACCACCCTAACACAGCTGTTTGTACCTCGAGGCTACCACGGCTCGCGGTGGCCTACCGATGTATCGAGCCAGTGATGCTATCCTCCCAGACAACCTGGTACCAATTTGCCGACCCCGGAGGATGGAAGGCTTGGTTGTCCTGGGGCGTAGGGTTCGATGCCATGTGTATTCGAGGGCGCCTCCGACCGCTACGCTACATGCGCCCAGAAACATCTGAACAGTACCACCACAGTGACACTCAGCGAAAAATGTTTCTTTTAGACTACTGCTTTGAAAACCGCCAATATTTCAAAGTCTTGCGAAATGTTTTGATATGAAACATCAGTGTAAAAGTGCTGAAATGGAAAGATGTATAATACTAGAAACTAACAAAAAAATGCAGCATTTGTTACCGAATCCAGAATTTTCGGTAGTAAATGATGAAAATTCCCTCGATTCACATTCACTGCCATTCTTAGATGTAAATTTGACCCTCGACCCTTGACCCTGAACCTTTTTCGTACAATTTTGCCTTAAAAAACGAATACCAATACAAGGATAATTAGATAACCGAACAACTACTATATCAAGTAAAAGGTACCTAACTATTACAAAGCAATAGCAATAATATTCTTCAGAAGAAAATGATTAACAATAAAATGTACGTGACAAGGACAAGAAACTTTTTCTATACAGAAATTGACACTATGAAAAAAGCAAGTAGCATTATGACTTGAGCTTCTTTATCTTCTTCTTGAATTTCTCAACGTCCACAATATCACCCTCTCGTTTCGGTGTGTGTTTATCTCTTGGCTGAAACAGGAGATGAAGAAAAGAAGTGAAAGAAGGAAAGAGAGAAATGTGCGGAAACACAAAAATAATACAAAATAAAACGGTTACATATAAACCCACATCTTTTACGAAGTAAAGGGTTCAGAACTGAATGAACATGGCCGCCTCGGCTATGAAATTGACAGAAATTTCTACTAACTTTTTCAACTGGAGGCTGGAATTTCTTCATCTTCTCTTTCCTACGGTCCTCAGATTTCGCCGCAGCGAGTTCGGCTTTTTTCCTAGAAGGGAAAGATGGTACAGTAAAAAGGCCATAGACAGCACACTAACGACAGTGTAATGACGAAACATTTTCGAAGAAGTAATGGTTGTTAGTTTGAGAACTTGTCTACAGTACATATTCTGACAAGTCTTCAGTGTTCTGTAACCTCCATACTAATTTGTGTTCACTTTCCTTTTCAAAAACTAAATGAGGAAATCGGATGTACGAAGTTACAAATCTATCGACTATGCAAGAAACGCTGACATAGGTAAAACAATAAAATAGAAGAAAACCATAGGTAGTAAATAAAAAGTGGCAACATTGTGATTTATTCCGAAGTTTCAGCTTAACTGAGTTCAATGCCGACCTGTGCTCCCCAGATCAATTCCGTTGACAGGTGACTGCTGAAAACACCTGATAATGGGTCAATAATATGGCTGAGACAAAGGTGAAAGGAAAGACTCCCATCGTGTGGTGGCCAAGGCGTTATCCCTCGGAAAGGGTAACAACGTGATCGGTCGTCACCGCAGACACCAACGGTTCGGAGTTTTGTAAATATCTCAGCATCATAGTTATAAAACACTAGACTCTGTCAATAAGTGAAAAATAATAATAAACTTTCAGGTGAAAACATAGATGTACTGCTAACACTATTTTGGAACATAAAAGTGTAAAAAGTGGTCCCTCTTGCACATTAGTAAAGCAATGGCTTCACTAAGTGCTTTTAGTCGATGACATTAAGCAACGACAACAGTCGCATAAGGACTGAAAGTGAATGGTGATATAATGGATTTCTGACTTTAAGGCACCTAAAGACTATTTTGATGTTGTAATAAAGATCAGGAATAAAATATGCAAAACACCGTCCACTTGGATAACATCTGAGTATCAAACCGAACCACTGCCACTGTTCATCATTTGTTCAACGAAATACATAATTTAGTTAGTTCCTAGATAACGAATCGAGATGTGTTTCTAGTATCACCGCTCGCCACTATCAAATGGTTGAAATCTTCCTCAGATTCCGAAGTACCATGTCGTCGACATGGAAACACCTTGGAACGGGGTTCTTGTGATTGCGAACACCACCAACGCCTCCTTTAAGACGGAAATATCTAGAGCATCCATGATTCCTCGTGAAATCAGGCTACCTAAGTTTCATAACAAGGAAGCTAAATAGAATCAAATTTGTCTAAGGTGGTTGAATTTCCAGTTTTTCTTCTTTTTTTTGGAAACACCCAAAAAGTTCAACCAAGCACTAAATTTAACTTGCTGATCACCTGTAATCCCGTTGATCGTCGAGTGACTCGAACAGGAGCCAGTAAATCTTCCATTTTTCCCTGTCGCGTGCAAGAGTAGCCCAGAGGGTTCTGCTCACTCTAGGGACTCGTCGAGCATCATATCGTTCTTCAAGGCTCTTTGTGAAAAACTCTGACCATCGCGTCGATGGTCAGAGTGCAGTACGTTTGACATCCCGAGGAATCCAGCCACTAACAACTCTTGTCATTACGTATCCGGCCCACCTTATCTTCGACTGCTTGGTGTACAGAACGGCATCTTTGATTTTTGATCGTAGACACAGGTCGGAGCTTCGAATCCCATCCCTTACTTGGGTTAAACGGGATACTCCTAGCGTCGTCCTTTCGACTACGGGTTCAATAACGCAGAGTGACCTTTCATCCTGCTTACGCAACCACCAGGTTTCTGAGACGTACGTTAGGGCAGGAAGCACCGTTGAGTCGAAACGGTGGGCACGGAATCGGACGTTCTTCCTTCTCTTAACTACATCCTCGATGTTCTTGAAAGGTCCCCAAGCCGCTCGTTTCCTTTTGCTCAACTCTGAAGCTAAGTCATTCAACATGTTGATTTACCGACCAAGACAGTTCCGTTGAGGGTAAATGGGGCACACGAAACCAATCCATTCCTCACAAACATCGTTTTTCTAAGGTTTAGTCGAACACCAACCTTTCCACAAGTTTTATCAAAGTCGGCCAGTCGCTTGGCTAATGTTTTTTGTTACAAGGACGATGCCATCAGCAAAGCGAAGATGCTGCAACTGCCGACCATCGATTTTCACACCAATATTACCTCATCCCAATGTTCGCATGACGTTCTAGAGGGTGGAGGTAAATAATTTTGACCAGATGGTATCGCTTCGACGAACCCCTTTTTGACGTCAATGTTAACATCGTTGTAGAATGGTGACACCTTGGTTGTAAAATTTTTGCACAGCTCACGAAGATTCTTTACGCACTGAGTAAGGACTCCATGACTATCAAGGGCTTCCAAGACTGCATCAATCTCAACTGAATCAAAGGCCTTCTGTAAATCGATGAAAGTACGATACAGCGGTCTTTTGTACTCTCGCGATACTTCAATAAGCCTGGTTGTCGTGTGAATCTGGTTCATCGCACTAAATCCTTTCAAACCCTTCTTGTTCACATGGCTGTCCTTCGTCTAATGTTCTGTCAATCCTGTTTAGGATGACTCGAGTGAAAACTTTGTAGACGCAGACAGCAAGCAGATTGGGCGATAGTTGCCGATATCGCGTAGGACACCCATCTTGAACAATAACGCGGCCTTGCTGGTCTTCCACTGAGAACCTTGCATTCAGACAGATAACGTGTGAAGAACCGGGCCAGTGTGTTTACGAGGACTGGCGGAAGGCTCCTTAGGTGTTCTGGCCTTATCCTGTCCAGACCTGGTGCTGTTAGACTTTTCACCGACGAAATAGCATGTCGGATTTCGGAAGGGAGAACCTGTGGTATAACATATCCATCCTCCTTTATTTCATATGACGGAAGGTGGACGTGGCTATCGAAGAAATCTGAATAGTATTCGTGAATGATTTTCTCCATTGCCTTTCTGGACCCCTGGGCGTCGGAGTGCAATCATCTTGGCCTTTTGCGTGGCGAAGCCTCTGTGGGCTTTGCGAATGCTTTTCCCGCCTCTGCAGATTCGACCTTTACTGCTGCTCTTCTCTCTTTAAGATCTTCTTTTATCGCCTCTCTGCAATGTTTTGCAAGTTCGCGCGTTAGTTCGCGCTTGCATATCAGCACGCGTGTTTCTGGAGAAAAACATCTCTTTGTGACTTTTGAACTCTCAGCTTTCACAGCGCAAACATGAAGATGTTGAATGAGCCGATCGTATTCATCGTCGATGTCATCGAAAGCGACATTTTCCCAAGAGCCAACTAACGAATTGAATAAATCCCAGTTTGCGGTGGTTTTGGGACTTCGGTTTTAGAATTTATTCTGGAATTGCGAGTTACCATGGATGGTCTTGGTCGCCATGATAGACTCAGAAAGCCGCTCACTCTGTTCGTTCCATTCTAATCCGTGGGACCCAATGTGACGTTCTTCAGACGCACTTCTTGGTCGAATCTTGGCGTTGAAATCTAAAAGGATGACCTTGAAGAATGTATGGTCTTCTCTGTTGAACTTCTCCAAGTCCATATAGTACGCTTCGACTTCTTCGTCATAGTTTGATGCCAGCGCGTAAGCGACGAAGATTGTCAAACCCGGAATTGATTCAGGTTTTCTTAATCGTAAACGTCCGATTCGGGTTGTAAGTCGTTCGAATGAATCGATGTTCATGGACAAACTCGTGTTGACGAAAACGCCGAAGCCGCGGACTCCTCTACTGTCGCATGTTCCGAGGAGCAGTTCTTCTCCGGTGTCAAAGACGGCGTTGAAAGGCTGGTGTCTCCTCGTCTCAACCAGGCCGATGACGTCGTACCTTATCCTTCTTGCTTGCATGAGCAAGTCTTCTATCGAGGATTCGGATACAAGTGTACGTGCATTGTAGGTACAGATCGTCACCATAGTTCTTTGGAATCCAGGCAGCTTCCACTGGCCCTGAGATTTTAGCAGCGTCTCCATACTCATCCTACCCAACGCTGCCGAATTGGGTACTCTTTCGGGGTCAGAGGAATGAGACCCGTTTTTTCTTACTGTGCTTAGCATTTTTGATACCCACATATAGCTTACTGGGTTCTGAACGTGGGAGCTGGGTATACTCACGGGTAGTCTGCCGGGCTCTCCCAGACTGGACATGGAGCTTATTTGTTGGAGGCGACTCCTAACCGCCTCCCATATACTTCCCAATCACTTGATTGCAGGTTTTTGACCGAATTGACTCGTTGAATACAATTCGCATAAACAAGAACGCACCTACACACGCGTGCATAAATACGCCCAGCAAATACAGAAAGTCTGTGCCAAATTAGCCTATTTGCCACCTTGTGACGCACCACGTAGCCTCAATACTAACCGGCTCGAGATCCCTCATTTGAGGAGATCCGTGGAACATACTGATAAGTAAGTTTTTTTACGATCCGATTTAGTTTCGTGTATCAATGGCAAGCGACGATACCTATGGGTAAGCCTTCAGCCCTATGTGTCACCTGCAACTCATGCCAGGCAATCTGCTGTAACATCTGCGGTGGGAAACTACCACACAATACAAAAACCATACTGAAGAAGCTGTACTTAAGACTGGAAATAGCAAGAAAGAACATAAATCGTATACAACAGTTGCTGCCATTGTGCTCCAAGTAAGGTATAATCACGTTTACCATTTAGATTAAACGACATAGACGACATAGAACGATATCACGTACCTCTTCCTGTTAAGTAATCGCTCATTTTCAGTCATGAAGAATTCACCAGTCTCTAGCTGCTTATCAATCTGAAAGCAAGCACATTATCCCATTTCTTTAGCAGAGCTGCCATTAAAACAAACCCTAATCTGCTTGATAAAGGTGGATGATACAAAACGGTTTAAGCGCTTCCGTGAAACCAGAAATTTGTCGAAGATTTTTTTTAACAAGATATTTGACAAAAGAAAAAAAGTGGTAACTTTACGCTGAAAAAGGAAAATTTGTCAAGAAAAAGCAAACAACACCTTGCTAAGCGTAGGAGCAGGAGGAAATGGTGTGTATTCGGCCTTCTTTTTCCAAGCTAACTTTCTCTTCTTTTTAGCTTCGTTCGCGGTAGCCGATGATTGCACCTACGTCAGATATCATAAGAAAGCTGTTTAGAAAGATTTTCTTGAATGTATAAAAGAGAAATGACAAACCTTCTTCTTGAAATTCGGTAGGAATCGTTCCCAATTTTCATCCTTCAATTTATCGTTTTTCATCAATTCACGTCTTATCATAAGAGTTTTAATATTGTAGATAGGATGAATATTGTTCATACAGTCCCTCACAATTGAACTGCAATAGTCATTACGGTTCAAAATCACTGCTACACCTAGGTATACATTCAAAAGGTTTGGTTTTACAATATTATATCCCAAAACAATTAGATTTGGAAGATTTTTTGTTTTCTTTCCGAATGTCGTTGAATTTAGGTAGAGTGCGCTCTTTCTGGGATCCTGAGATAGCCCTAGTACTGCGTTCCTTACGTCTTCACCACGGGTAGACAATACGCTGTGTGGATCGAACGGAACTTCTCTGAGAAGTCCAGTACTAATTTCCTGACCCCGAAAGATGGGAAACTTGACTGATCCTGGGCACAATCGAACCAGCGCCTCGTGAGTATTACTGAATGGCATCTTTACCACCTTGTTCTACCCTCGTCTCTTACTATAATACATTCTTTCATATTTTCTTGCAGGAAAGTGCAGGACAGGAATTTTCATACAGAAATCCCTTCAACATTCACGAACCTCACTTGTTTCAGACCTGCAAGTGGTCCAACTGCGCAGACAGTTCCTCCTTGTATACATACATAACACTGTGTAAGCAGTTCCATTGCTTTTAGTGTGGCACCATTATTGCCAACTAAGCGAGCTCGGCGTTTCACAAATCGCTCCTTATTGGCACACTAAAATATATCAACACTATGAATACCCACAGATATCCCTATCTCGCATGTCGACACAGCTAGAATCCTGCAGTCATTTGACCGGGAAGTATATGCGAGGTAAACAGAAGTCATCTACAACAAAGAAACTCCTCATCGACAATAGAAAAATCCCGTATGACACCCGTAAATATACCGAGCCCCATTCAAGAGCTTCTCGAGCTATCCGAGAACACTTTCATTCCCTGTATGACCACGGTGAAACGGATAAAATTTCAAAGTCATTCTATTCTTCTTAAATCAAAACATAGTGAAAGTATGCGGCAAAAGAGGTGGTCAACTTTGGCTTCTTCATTGCCCATGAACAACGACTCCTTTTGACAACTAACAGACGCCTATTCCTGAAACGATTTAGATCAATATAGATAGGCTTTGAAAACATTCGCCATCAGTGCACAAAACTGAACTTAGATGAAAATGACGAGGTTTGAAGCATATCTGGAAATGTTTCATGTGGATCTGACATTCTACATGTAATCGTTAGAGATGTAAACGCTAAAACTGTGCCCAAAAGAACGAGTGAATAACGGCAAATCAGCACCCACAAATTATAATGAGATAAACAAGTTAAGAGAGTCTTAGCCTACCAGGACGTTTAAGAATATGGCAACCTATAATTTCACAGACCTTCCTCTCAACGGTTACTATGGGATTCTGGGAAGGATTATGACGAAGAAGACCACATAGTAAACCAAACGCTAATTTACGTCGCTGTTGCGCACGGAAAGTACCACACGAAATCTGTCCATCTACATCGCGCATGGTAATTTTTCTCTGCGCATGAAGGAGAGCAAGGTTAATTAGATGGACCAAATCTCCAAAACATGGTGATTTTCTTCTTAAACCTTTGCCAGTTCCAAAATACATCGTTGTCAAGAAAACAGATGAGAGATGATTTTACGATCACGAACAGCTTATACAAAATCTCTTCGACACAGTTAAAAAGCCGTAAGTTAATAAGTTACCGAACAACAACGGTCTCCAGGAGTACTTGAACCTACAAGCCAATGTTGAGCATCACAAATCTCAGGCAATTACCGAGGTACTTCAAAACAGTAAAGCTTTGCAAAGAGGCAAAAAAATTTATACAGAGACAATTGCGCAAACCGTCTTAAGCTGTGGACCACATTACGCAAGACGTTAGTAAGCTACCATTAGTTTTCATCCACAATGTGCACCGATTTTTAACACTTCATCCCTCAGAATACGAAGTCTAAAATCAATGAAAAAGCGGCAATACCAATAGGCCCAAAAAAGCAATTCAATCTGCCCGCACACAGCCATCTAAAGGTTCTTAACATTAATCATCACAAATAGGAGTGACTAAGTAACGATACCAGCAAGTAGGATATGGATTTAAGATGGTATCACACATACACGATAACGAATCCCATCGAAATGTCGTTAGAATACAAGAAGCTGCTATGTCCCAGTTTTAAAAAAATGCTTTCGAATTACCTAAGACAGTAGTCACGAAATCTCTGGGCAGTAATTGCACCCCCAGTCAATCTATAAAGATCCTTCGTGAGTAGTGAAACAAATTTACAAGTACAGCAGTACCTTGATATTCATATGGTATTAACAATGACGTAAAAAGCAGGCTTTGACAACGCGACAAGGCAATACTGCTTCGAAAAACTTGCAACTTTCCAACCAAACTCGAGAATGCCATGTGAAAACTCTAATAAGATAACCTGGAAGTGAACATGAATTGGTACCAGCTATAGCATTCTCTCTGTTGATATGTCGTTTCTATAATACTAATCATTAGGCAAGAAGAACAAATATCGGGCAATTTCCATTGCGCTTGTGGGAAGAGTGGGAGATAAGGTTACAGAAGAAGTGGTGCAAAGGAACAGAACAAACTCGGTCCTACCATGGAAGAAATTTTGATGATTTCACAGAACACTTCATCCTGCAAGACACGAATGGCTTGTTCGTACGGAACGCTTCGTGACATGAGTTTTAGGACATCACGTGCTTTAATCAATATATATGGATCCCACGTTTTGCGTGTTGTACTAACAGTCATAGTTCCTTAAAAATGTAAGCACACTGAATAACTAGGAAGATGGAAGAAAAAGCAGTAAAGAAAAGCTGTCGACAAATCAATCCTACCTTCTAAAAGGTCCAGGTTAGTTTTCAAATAATGTTCTCCCATAGTTTTCTCGATGAGCGGCCAACTCTCTCTAATATATTTCTCGCGATATTTAGGAAATAAACAAGAAAAAGAGGATTCCGCAACCAGTCCCCCTGGATTGTCCTCCTAAAAATATCTTAGTAAAAACAGAGATCACCACTACGGTCTAGTCAGTTACCGCATTTCCTTTTCAAAAGCCTGAATTATTATTCCTAATGTTCTCTACAACATTCACATCACATAAACACCACACAACTTAGTATATTACCGCAATAAAAAAGATGTATAAAGCTCTCGGCGTTAATCAATCTCTGCGGGATGTGTCATGCATTGGATTTCATTAGGCACCGATGGAGGTGACTCAATGCATATCTGAAAGGCGAAACGAAGAACTCGCATGGTGTGGTGGTGAGCACGTTAGCCCCTGATAAAAATAATAACGGGTTCGATCCCCACCGTAGACACCTGCAGTCCGGAGTTTTGCAAATATCTTAGCATCATTATGGTTATATTTTACATAATACCCTACCATAAAAAAAAGTAGGCAGCAAGTAAAAAATGACGACGGTTATGGTAACTGTTAGAAAAGATTCCGTTCATCAGCGACTATTTGGATAAACGAACCTTGCTGAAGGTAGCAATATCCCACCACTGGGGATCTTTTCGGGAACCGAATGTGCTCGCAGTAGGCTTTCGATCTGAACGCTCCTCTACCTCATCGGCCCATTCTGGCTCAAATTCACTTTTTTCTTTATTAGGAGGCATCTGTAACACATAAAAGGGGTGAACCTTACAAGAATCGAAGGACACAGCTTACATATCGAGTAATGATAGTATCAGAATTAATAAATCAAACGACTGTCAAGCATTTTTCAACAACTGCAGCACATGAGAACGAACTTGGCCGACTAGTGGACCTTGTTAATTTAAATGAAAATCAGTAGACCCCAGAGAACCCGGCAAGAGCCAAGTCAACGTATCCTATCGCGATGGTATCCTGATATTTTGAGTCTGGAGAACATATTTATTTGGCTTGTCATCGAAGCTCGTACTTCGAAAGCGAAAGCAAGTAAACAAGCAGAATATCGACGAAAAGAGGGATCAAGGACTAAATAATAATAAGTAAAACCAATCGTCTTCACCAGGTACTAAACTAATATTACTTGAAATCGCTGGAGCTTACAAAGGGACGTTATGAGGGTGTGATTCGAGCGGCACTTCCAAACAGAGCGCGCTATCCCATCCCTTTGTTATCCATTAAATTCTATGCCTTAACTCTTATCATTATGCTGATTTCACGACGAACACAATCCAACCACCATTTATCGAATCCCTAACTAAATGCAAGAATCACCACTTAATCTTCTGTTTGTTTAGTTTTTAATGAGAGTTTTGTTATGAAGCGAATGCGATTAATGCTTCTTATCTACTCGAAAATTTGTAACAGTGAGCAGTGGTAGGTCATGTAGGTAAGAACTTGAAAAAATAGGAATAACAGGGTAGTTGGAAGATGCCCCAGTCCAGCTGCATCTACTCTGTCTTGATTGATCTAAAAAACCCTTGCACATTTCCCCACTTTATCGTACATATACCGTAGGGATGCCTTTGTCTCAGTAAATGGGAAGTCGCTTTTGGTTCAAGATTAGCGCCCTACCCGCCATCTGGGGCCGCTCGACGTAGCCTCGCGACTAACCGGCTCGAGACCTCTCTGTGAGGAATATCCGTTGTCCTCTATGAGGGGAAATCCGTGACTTTCATAACGACAACGAGAATATTACTCGAACGAAAGACTTCAGTTCTATGGTAAAGAGATATTTTTTGATCTGAAAGAGATACAACACTTTCATAGGAACTTACTTCCTTAATTGAATGACCAGCCTTCGCTGATGTTGCGAACCACAGCATAACTTCCACCCGTTCCTCTCTTGCGCAGTGGTTCCTCAACGGTGGTGGTCTGCTTGGAACACGGTGACATCGGCTAGGCCCATTTCGATTTTGTAAAAGCGTTTCCATCCGCAAATGTGGTTGGCTGACGTTGGCCACGATTACGTCAGCCCATCGTTCAGGTGGTCTTCGATGACGACGCTTAGATTTATCCTCAGCTATGATGGCTTGAATCACATCATTTGTCTCGTGAATCTTTCTTCTCTTGCGTATCTTACGAAAAGTCCGTAGGATCGTTCACAGCCAGGTATTCACTACGTGCGCCCCAGAACCCTTGTAGAGAGGTAAAAGCTGTTTTTAAAGACAAGTTTTGCAAAATTTTTCCGGCTCTAGAGGGATGAGAGGCTTGGTTGATGACACGCCGAAGGGCAGTTTTTTTTTCCTATAACTGGATAAAAAAAGCTGTCGGCGTTGATCAATCCATGAGGAATGCACCATGCATTCGACTTCACTAAGTATAGTTGGAGGTGATCGAATGCATATTTGGCTTTTACTATGACTAGCGGTGGCCTACCGATTGTATCGAGCCAGTGCTGCTATACTCCCAGGCAAGTCTGGCACTAAGTTGCCGACACCGGAGAGATAGAAGGCTTGGTGGGCCATGGACGCCGCGTTCGATTTCACGTGTGTGTCGCAGTTGTTCCTCCAACCACTGCGTCCTATAACTGGATAATACCTATGATGCCGAAGATAGTTCATGAAAATTGTGTTGTTGTGTAAATTTATGCAGTCAGTGCCTGTACCATTATCACCGATGGCCTCTTCGTCATTACCCTTGTCACTGTCCGATTCACTATCTTCAGAATCTCGTTGAAACGCATTACAGACTCCTATATTTTTCAGCGTTTTGAATGTCTTCATTTCTTCTTCATTTCTATGGATGATTAGTGTCCCGAACCAAGAAATTGAATCTGTCATCAGCTGACATGATATACTCACTTCGATACTTAGGTGATCAGTCTTCACCAATTGTGCGGGCTCCAGCAAATTTGCCATTCGTTCCTTTTCCTCGCAAATGTCCATGGTGGCAGTTTTATTCGAGCATAATGGCACATGCGAGTCTAATACCGTGATCTGTAAAATAACTGCAGCTGTGGGTACAGCTGATTAACTTTGTTTACGAACACGCCCGCACAACGTGTAGGTGGCCGTCCTTGGGGACGCCTGCATGCTCGTGGAGTTCACTCTGCAGTTCTTTTGGTCCATTTGTTGTCTGTTCTTCTCATTATGAGACCGGCCCATCTATGTTTCGCTGTCAATGTATATTCTCCTGGATCTTGAAGATGTGACAGATTTCGAAGGTCAGAGCTTCGCATTCCGGCTAGATATTGAGAGTGCCGGTTATATTCCAGAAGACATCGCTCAATCGCTCTGTGAGTAGTGCAAAGTATTCTTGATGTATTTGAAGTAACAACCCACGTCTCTGCAGCATAACAGATCGCTGGAAAAACCATTGAGTCGAAAAGGTGAGCGCGAGTTTTCGTGTAACTCCTTTGGTAGGGAGCTTCTTTGAGAGGCCCGAATGCGGCCCAACCTGCTCGCCTTCTTTTGTCTGGCTCCTCCTTCATGTTGTTTTCAATACTCATTGATCGCCGAAGGTAAACGTACGAGGTGGTCTCTGCAATGAGAGAACCATCCAATTCAATTTTTTCGCCTTCGCACCATAGGTTTTTCATGAACTGTATCTTCTTTCGATTTATGCGAAGTCCGATCTTTTTCTCCGCTTCGTTGAGCTCGTTGATCATCACCTCTGCTTCGATAGTACTTCTTGAGAAGATGACAATGTAGTCGGCAAAACGAAGGTTTGATAGGAATTTTCCATCAATACGTATGCCTTTCTCATCCCAATCGAGTGACTTCGTTATCCACTGCAGTGCGCCACTGAACAGCTTTGGCGATATTATGTCGCCCTGCCGAACCCCTCTTCCTATAGGAATGTTAAGAGGTCGATAAAAAAGCTGCATTTTCGTAGTGCAGCTCCTATAGCAGTCAGGCAGAGTTCTTTTGTAGAACGGGTCCACTCTTTGTTCGCCGAACGCTGATAGGATTGCATTCGTTTCGACACTGTTAAACGCTTTCTCATAGTCGACAAAGGTTAAGTTTAGAGGCAAGTGGTATTCCCGACAAACTTCGCTGACCCTGGACACGGTTTGGATGTGGTCCACGCAGCAGAATCCTTGTCAAAATCCTGCTTGTTCCACTGGTTGCGCTTCATCCAATGTCCTTGACATGCGCGAGAGGATAATCTTCGTGAAGAGCTTGTAGAGTGCATTCAATAAGCACATCGGACAACAAAGATAATGCTGAGATATTGGCAAAATATTATCTTAGTTGTATTTCACATCATACCCTGTCGTTAAAAATTATAGTAGGCAGTAAATAACAAAAGGTTAAAATATCGGACAACAGTTACGATGATCCCTTCGGTCACCTTTCGTGGGCAGGATAACCGTGTGCGACATCCTCCACTCGTTTTGGATTTCTTCATTTGAAGGTAGGCTGTTTTATGGCTTGCAAGAAGTACACGTAAAGTGTGCTTTCCAGCTCTAAGAAAATCGACAGTGATAATGTCTGGTACTGGAGATGTGCCTCTTCTCATGCTTTCTACTGCAACTCGGACTTCCCACGGTAGAATTCCACGTAGTTTTTTCCCATCGAGGATATTAGCGTCCCGAACGGGGATTGTGGGGCGGAAAAGGTTGGTGTAGAACGTTCATGTTATTAATTCTACATCATGGCGGGAGCTTTTGACGATTCCAGCTTCGTTCACCAAGGCTAACAGTGGAACATTATAGTCGCACAAGTCTCGACGTTACTTTTTCAGACTCCTTCTTTTTTCTGCTGCTTCCAGTAGTTCCAACTTTCTGTGTCGATGTAGGTCTTTCTGCAAATCTCTTCTGCAGCTGGCATTTATTACTAGCTGTAGTAATAAATATGATATGATTTATGCCTTTTAGATCGTTTTTTTTTTCACCAATAGTTGATTCTTTTTGCTTTGCCTCTCTCTACGATGAATACATACAAAAAATCGAAAGTTGCATGTAAACATTTTGGGAAACCATTCCAAAGATTAATCATAACGTGTTTGGACGGCGGGCGAGTTCTCTCCAACACGCGGAATAACCAGATTTGTTTCAGAATCATGGAAAGAAACTTGTATTAACATGAAGACTATGTAAAACACATGGAGCTACAAAAATCAAGGAAAAAATGCATGGAGTAATCGAAGCACAGAGCGAATAACGTTTAAGAAAGGGATGGTTATTCCACAAGTATTATGAAAAGTGTCTGTTACGGAAAGCTCCATCCTAGGCCTAGAAATCTACAAAAAAATCTTTTTCCCGAATGAGTTCATTTAGCGCTAATTGGTCCGGTAAATGATTGTTATTCTATTTTGCGACCGGAGGTCACTGTTGATGGTATTTCTTCGACTAAACACTTGAACTAACTGCTTGTTGTGACTCACCATACAACGCCTTGCATGCATCACTTTGTCTGCATTCTTCGACCACTTCTTGAACAGCAAAATCTCTAAGAACGTCGAAACACTGACTATTATTAACTTAAACCAGGAAGTGTCTTCAAGACTGCAACGTATAGAGGTCCGTTCTAATACATGTTGGTTGGACCTGGGCTTTCCAAACCCTCTATCCATCTAGTGCAGCACTCTTGCAAATATTGATAGAAAATTTGTTTGAAGGATAAAAACACTGATCAGCAAACCTTTATCAGTTATGTCACAAAGACCAAAGATTGATTTAGTAACCTGTACTTTATTTAACAGCGTCATTGGGCATTCTTAAAAGATTCAATTCATGCTG